ATATAAAGACAACCTTTCGTCTACATGACGAACTAAGGCACTTCAACTCAGAGCAGTAATTTCTGACCTAGACGCAAAAAGAAGACGTTTTCAGAGGCACCTGTGACTTTTATAAGCCACCTCTTTATCATAAACGACAATAATTACATTCTCCAAAAGTTCATGCATCTTGACGATGATAATAAAAGACCCATTGAGTTGGGTCTTACAATGAGAAACTCGAATGGTAACATGATCTTTCATAATAATAATTATTCTTATTATTGGTATTGTTTCCTTTAATTCTTAGAGGAACATAGGGCTTCAACTCCATGTCTCCAGTGTTTTCAGTTCTCTGCCAACCTTTCCATTTGGCCCCATGTCTGACCACATGCTTTCACCTCATCTTCACATCACCTCCTCCATGTCACCCCAACCTTGGACTGACAACCAACTCGCTACTCCCCCTTTAGGTTCCACTCGAATGATAGTCTGGCCTGTGATGTCAACTGATGGTTTATTTTCACAGAGTATGGCCAATCCACCTCTATTTCATCTTTCATAATATTCACTATCTGTGCAGCATAGTTCATTTTTCGTATGCATAAAGCTTAAAGACGTGGTGCAGGCATTTATATTACACTAGCTGTTCACTGAGATGTACTTAATAATGCAAGAAGACCTAGACTTAGGTTGTTGCGCTTATTTACGCTTCTATGTAACCTGGAATGAACTGACTAGAACTCACACAAGCCTACAGTTTATTCCATCCCAAAGGAAGATGTCTATATCAAACTGCCTTAATTACAATGGGGAAATAAGTAGTAGGATAATAGGATAGAGAGTAAATCTGGTCACTCGTAAAGCATACTGTGCATCCCAGCTTATGATTGTGGAAAAGGCTGAAAACATGCTTTAATACAATCTCCAACATCGCACAAGTTATTACGTCACATCCCTCGCTATATACCAGTTTGTACGTATGCATAGTTATACATAGGGAGGAGTAATCACTCTTTGCATGTAACGGTGGGAGAATCCATAAGCAAATAGCTTGAAAAATGAAGGAATTGTGAAACCTAGACAAGCACATGTTGCAGACTATCATCAACTTCACCTACAGCGTAGCACTTAATTGGTATAAATCACAAGACTGATATCAAAACGTTTTTCAAGATTATCTGTATAAACGGTCGGGGGCACTTAATGAAACACGTAAAAGCGATAGCTAGCCGTAAACTTAAGCAGCCCGACTGCGTGTACAGAAACAATTTATTATAACTCTTAACCTACTTCATTAATCTTCATCCGATTATAATACCAGAAAACCATGGGCACTGGACATCTGTTTTATCATAGTTTGGGACACATCAGCAATACTTGAGTGGAACTAATACAATATGCCTATATCTGTAGGACTAAATAGTGTGAGTTCTAGTCAGTTTATTCCAGCCTACATAAAAGTACAAATAATCGCAACAACCTAAGTCTAGGTCTTCTTGCATTATTAAGTACATCTCAGTGAACAGCTAGTGTAATATAAATGCCTGCACCACGTCTTTAAGCTTTATGCATACGAAAAATGAACTATGCTGCACAGATAGTGAATATTATGAAAGATGAAATAGAGGTGGATTGGCCATACTCTGTGAAAATAAACCATCAGTTGACATCACAGGCCAGACTATCATTCGAGTGGAACCTAAAGGGGGAGTAGCGAGTTGGTTGTCAGTCCAAGGTTGGGGTGACATGGAGGAGGTGATGTGAAGATGAGGTGAAAGCATGTAGTCAGACATGGGGCCAGATGAAAACGTTGGCGGAGAACCGAAAGCAATGGAGACATGGAGTTGAAGTCCTATGTTCCTCTAAGAATTAAAGGAAACAATACCAATAATAAGAATAATTATTATTATGAAAGATCATGTTACCATTCGAGTTTCTCATTGTAAGACCCAACTCAATGGGTCTTTTATTATCATCGTCAAGATGCATGAACTTTTGGAGAATGTAATTATTGTCGTTTATGATAAAGAGGTGGCTTATAAAAGTCACAGGTGCCTCTGAAAACGTCTTCTTTTTGCGTCTAGGTCAGAAATTACTGCTCTGAGTTGAAGTGCCTTAGTTCGTCATGTAGACGAAAGGTTGTCTTTATATATAATGGTAGTTTTTTTCTCAGAAACGATATGTCATACTATTACTAATGTTGATAAAAAGCAAATTATCTTTACATCAGTATTCACAAAATCAAATAGCCTAATTAGGTTCTCCAATTATATATATATGTGTGTGAACCATCATTATAGAATTTAATGAAGCTTCACTTTTATGTTCCATTGTTTGAGATGAAATCCTAAACAGATTAACTTATTTCTCTTTTAAAAAATTTGAATAGTTTATTACACATAAACATTGAACTTGACAAGTGATCATGCAATAATAGGGGAATAAGCTTTGATGAGAGATCATCAACTTGAAATGAACAGATTAACGGTGTTCAGTCAACCTAAAAATAAATTAATCCTCAACATACTCTTGTTCGTAGATCCAGTAAAGCGTAGTAAAGATGTTCGGAACAACAATTTTGTCGTATACTGGGATAATAATACTAACCATATAAAAGAGTGCATAGCCGTTGTTCATGCTGTTTCTATTGCTTGCATCAAAAACAAAATTCCACATGAGAAATACCCATTCAGCAATTCTCAATGTTCAACGCTCATGTTACTGATTTATGTAGGTCACTGAATTTATTTTTACATATTTTACTCGTAAATGCTGGAACTAACCAGGTATATTTTTCTTGTCAAGATACCTAAACATGAGTTGAACTGTTCGATTGACCAGAATTAGTGAAAATCAATTAATTAATTAATTCGAATCCCGGTGGGTGCGTACTGCTGAAGAGTCCCAAACTAGGACGAAACAGGTGTCCAGTACTCCCAGGTTTTCCAGTGGTTCTCTAACTGATGTCAGCTCATGATTAAATCCTCCATGCAATCAAACAAAATCCCTACAAAACCAATGCTTGAAAAATAATTTAGTGTTTAAATGAGAACTTCAAACAAGTAGCGAATAAGTTCCAATTATATATGTATATGTATATATATATATATATATATATATATATATTATTTAGTGACTTAAGAATTACACTGACTTCTATTTTTCCCCATAAATTCTAATTAAATCAATTGAATAATCTTATTTCTTAAAAGTAAATCTTGATTTATTTACATAAAATAATTTAAGATGACATTAAAATATGATAGGTTTTGTCTCCCTGTGAACCCTCACCACCCCCTCCCATCTTGCACAATAGCTATGCACAATTTTAAGAAAGTACAACGTCAAATAAGTCAAATGGAATTTTAGACAAGTGGATGTTTTTTTTTGCATGTGTCACAAGAATTCAAATATTATTCTGACAGTAAAAACAAAACTTACTTGAACAATTGCATTATTACTATCTGCGACAAGTATTTTATTTTCTCGTGTTACACATATACCAGTTGGATTTGCGAATTCACCATAACCTCGACCTTTTGTTCCAACAGAATATAAAAAGTCGCCTCTTTCTAATTTATGTAAATCAGCTAATGCAGTTGGTTGATCAAGTAATTTAGAGTAAACAGGTGCAGATTGACAACGTCTTCTTGATTGTTTTTTAATACGTTTACGATGTGGCAGTTCACTTATTTCTTTCATTGTCTCAGCTATCGCTTGTAAATCTGGTTTAATTGGACTTTCAACATTAATAAAATAAGGCGATCCTTTTATATGTTCACCAAATAATTTAATGCTTAAATCATATGTACCTGGATGAGAAATTTTATAGGTAACTTGTAAGGCGTTTTCATGATTTCCATTTCCGCTATTACTATGTGATAAACTTGAACAACTGTCTGATATTTGTTTTTCTTGTATACCAACTTCAGTTTCACTATTAAATCTTTGATTCAAGAGGACTGAGAATTCTTTACTCGAAGCATTTGCTACTGTACGACCTAATCGGTCGTTAGCAAGAATATCTATCCTAACTTCTTCATTTGCTTGACAACGTCTAACTGAAGTAAACTGGTCTAGAAAGCTATTTGATAAAGCAGTATTTTGGGCATCAACAGCAGTTAAACCTAAAGACCCGACACACTTGATCATACTTAAAAGCTGATCTAAATCTGTGGGGAAAAATGACATTGTATCTGACTCTGAAGGATGCAGAGGCAATGGTGCTGAAATAAGCTTTTCAATTTCAGCTTTATGTTTCTGAGCAGCAAGATCTCTGGAAACTGTATTCTGATTTACTTTTTGCATTTGAGGTGTTTCGTCATTGGAATGTGTTTGTGTTAGTCTTTTTAATAGGTCAACATGTGAGGAAAGTCTTTGAAGTCTCATTTCAAATTCAGCATGTAATTTGCTTATCGCCTCGTTTCGTGAGCTTAAACAAGAATCCAATTCATTTAGAAGGTAGTCATGACGTTCACTAACTGATCTCTGAATCATCTGCATACTTTGATCTATTTGACCACGAATTTCCTTTCTTACAAATGGAAGACATTCACTTAAATTTTCTAATTCTTCACATCTTTCAGATAAACATTTGATTACATCTTGAGCTAAATGAAGTTTATCGTATACTTCATTACATTCGTCTGATTGTGTTTTTTCAACCGTTCCATTGACAGTTATATGCATTCCAGTATCTCTGCCGTTCAAAGTTGATTCGAATACCATATCCTTCTTGGGTGAATCACCCATTGTGAAGCATCATTTGTGAAGCAGTTAATATAAAAGTAAAATGATCCGATATGAATTCCCTCTGGTCAGCTCCCAATAGGTTATCCAACCATATAAAGTGTGGTTGGATCTACCAACCAATGGAAAGGAAGAGCGCTCAATCTACTAAAAACCTATATCTCTATTTTTTGTTATTAGTTTAGGTTCTAAAAATAAATAAATTCAAGAAATACCAGTCGTAATGCAATACAAAGACGTACTTCATCACTTACATTTTGTTGTTTTAATGCTCTCCTTTTTTCCCGCCTAATTTGAACGCAATGGGTTCACGGAAAATCTGCAGTTTCGTCTCAGGTTAGTTTCTTAGGAATGCTATTGACAAACTCGTTGCCTTATCTTCCTACGAAATTTGCTATCTGTCAGAGATTATTCGGAGTTATGAAAGTCATATGATAAGTTAGATTAACAAGGACTGTAGGTCATCTTGCATTTTAGTCCATAATATCGCGACTAACTAGCATATACAAAGATAGGGAGTAAAGTGACTAAACATATTGGCCACTTCATTTGTTCAGGAAACTGCACCGGTCTTAAAGTCTGTTACTGACAAAATGTGTACAAATATATAGATGGCTTCTCTAGCTGATGAAATGTCGAGCTACTCATTAAAAGGTGTCTACTACGTGGCAGTCTTCACTGTCCCATTCTGGTAGTTGAGTGAAGACATGAAAGGTCAATGGGGTTGTGATCACAAGTGACTTCATTCATTTGCTCACTCGAGATGAAACTACATGAAATCACAAAGCGGAGCAGTGTAAAATAAGATAAGTCGATAATTCAGCCTATAAAGTTATGTCGATTAGGCTGATTAGCGTGCGTTGCACAAGTGGAGCAACCACCACTCTAAACAAGTGTAGTCAGCTAACGCGAAATTAGGTTGGAAGGGAGATTGAGTTGTGAAGCAATCGACTGCTGGCTAGACATTTCCACATCCCCTAATGGACTAAATCAAGAAATATGATAAGTGTTTGATGCAGGTAAATATGCTTATGCTATAGAGTTTATCGTTTGGTAATTATGAAATCAATATATCTTTTCCGGACTTGTGATTCTTGATGTGTTTTTTTAAGTGTGACAAGCAGATGTTCTATTACTGCTTGTTTTCTACACTTGGTCAGTTACAGGGGCCTTACATATGTTCTAAGTTAATATTTCCAGGTAACATCAATTTCTGAACAAAGTTATGCAGACAACCATCACTATTGCTTTCTTGACATGAGAATTTGTAGGCACTATTAATGTGCTTTTCCAGTTAATTCAACCTTCCTACTTGAGGATTATATTATTATTTCCTAGAGGAACACATGCCTTCAGCCAAACGTCTCCATTGCGTTCGGTTCTCTGCTAGAGTTTTCACCTGGCTCCAAGTCTTCCCACATGCTTTCATCTCCTTTTCACATGACCTCCAAGTCACCCTTGGACGATCAACTCGCCGCTTCCCTTTCGAGTTCCACTCGAGTAATGGCTTTTCTAGTGATGTCACCTAATGGTCTTCTCAGCGTATGACCGATCCACCTCCACTTCTTCCTGCATATTTGTTGCACAATCGTTCTTGATTGGTCTGCTCATTGCCAGAGATCCCTGTTACTGATCTTTTCTGGTTGACCATCTGATCTTGAGAATTGAGCGAAAAAACAGCTGTTGATGAAAGTCTGTAGTTTTGTCGAAGTGCCCTTTGTGATGCGCTAGCCAAGTATTTTATCCGTATAGTTAGTAGCAATGACTTCACATTGGAGTTGAAATTCTGGATCTTATTTTCATTTTCATGGTGAGTGCTGTTGATCTCCCGACCGCAAGCTGCTACCTTGACGTAGTGGTCGGGCTCGAACACCGCAATGACCTAATCAAGCTATACTGGCTGAGACTTATGTCTCTTGAGGTTCTACCATGCCAGGCAGGTTGTTTGGATAGCGGTTAAACAAAAAGCAGCTACCCATCCAATACCATGATTCAAACAAATTCACAAAATTTCATGCCGGATCGGCCGTGGCCCGGATTAACAACGACCGCGCTTCCTGCTGCCGTGTCACAGGGCAGGAGTGATAAGTATGCTACTGAGGCACACCAAACAAAAGAGAACAAACAAAAACAGGCCGCGTGTGACCGGCCTCAAGCAGTTGTCCCCTGGGCTCTGCGGTCACGCAACCAACTTCCACGGTGTGGGCAGCCGGGAAGTAACAAACGCCCTCACAATCCGAAATGCACACAAAACCTCTCTAATCCTCACTTATCTTTGTCTTCATCTTCATCTCTATTACCTTGCCTTCCTCCACTGATGCAACTCCTCTACTTGATGGCTCCTCACTCCCTCTTCACTCTGTGTCCACTAAAAACGACGAAAGCCAAAAAACCACCACCGATAGTCTCCTAAAGCCACGCCACCAATTTCATATAGGAGCATTTAATGTTAGGACACTTTGCCAAATAGGACAACAAGCATCACTAGCTAAGACCCTGGCATCCGAGCCATTGATGTATGTTGTGTTTCAGAAACACGCATACAAGACCCAAGTGTGGTTATTCACCTAACCCCACCTGGCCAACAGGATGAATCTTCAAAATTCACCTTGAGGGTGTCAGGAGATGCCACAGCTAGTTCACGAGGATTAGCTGGCGTAGGGATAGCTTGAGTACTAGGGCAGAAAAGACATTGCTTGACTGGATCCCAGTAGATAGCCGAATGTGTGCTGTCCGTCTGAACGGATCAGTAAGAAGGAGAAAGGACTGCACTACTCGCCGATGCCTTTTCGTAATCTCCGCCTACGCCCCCACTGACTGCAGTTCGGATGAAACGAAGGATGAGTTCTACCAAAAGCTGTCTAGTTTGGTGAGAAAGGCTAAACGCTCAGATATAGTCGTTCTAGCTGGTGACTTTAACGCTCAAGTAGGGAAATTGTGTCAATCTGAGAAGGATGTCGGTGGCACCTATGGAGTTCCGTGCCAGCGAACCGACAACGGTGACCGTCTCCTACAGTTCTGTTCAGATAATCATTTGTTTCTTGTAAGCACTAACTTTAAACACAAGGAGAGACACTGTTTAACCTGGCGACCCCCATCATCAAACCAACGCTGGACACAAATAGACCACATAGCAATAAGCTATCGTTGGCGTGGGTCGGTAGGAGATTGTCGCTCCTTCTGGAACACGTGTGTAGATACCGATCACGCACTGGTCCGGGCTCGTGTGTGCTTACGACTGAACGGACGTAGGAAACAGCTGGCGGTAAAACCATCACGTCCCCAGCTCGATCAGGAAACTAAATCCCTATTTGAGGAAGAACTAGCTAAACGCATATCTGAATTCGACAGCTGTGCTCACCCTGGAGAAGCCTGGAAGAATATTCAGTCAGCTATAGATACAGCTGTAAAAGCTGTGAATAAGGCAAATCCAAAGGTGAGTAAAAACCACTGGATTTCGACTGCCTCATCCGAACTGATAGATGCTAGAAGACTTATTCCGGCGAGCTCCGAATTCAATGAGGAGCGAAAGCTGCACAAAAGGAAACTTACTAAAAGTCTCCGCAAGGACCGTGAACAGTGGTGGGTGACAAAGGCGAAAGAGATGGAAAAAGCATCGGCGATAGGCAACACTAGGCAACTCTTTAGACTCATCAGAAACGGGTGGGAGAAGGCAATTCATAAGTGAGACTATTTCTGAGAAAAATGGCTCCTTAATTAGCTCTCAGGATAGACGCCTTGAACGCTGGAAAGAACACTTTGAGAACAATTTAACTTGCCTACAGCCACACTGAACCTCCCCGCCATCCACACACACCCGAATGGGATATAGACACTGGTCCGCCGTCTGTAAGTGAGGTTACAAAAGCTATCAGTAATTTGAAACGAGGCAAAGCGGCAGGACCCGACGGAATTATTCCGGAGGTGTTTAAATATGGGGGTGACATACTAGTTTGTAGATTAACTGAGGTACTAGGCAAAGTCTGGGAATCAGAGACAGTGCCATCAGACTGGGGTAAGTCACTTATTATACCGATATTCAAGAAGGGAAACAAGTCCTCGTGTGATAATCATAGGGGGATCAGCCTAACGAACATAGTCTCTAAAATCCTAGGCTCAGTAATCATGCATAGACTAAGCAGAACTCGGGAGGAACAGACAAGGGAAAATCAAGCAGGCTTTAGACCAGGTAGAGGGTGCATAGATCATATCTTCACTCTTCGACAGATTCTAGAACATAGACACACTTTTCGGCGTCCAACAATTGTCATATTTCTTGACTTGAAGGCGGCCTTCGACTCCGTGGATCGAAAGGTACTATGGCAATGTCTGACTGTGAAGGGAGTGCCAAGAAAGTACATTGCACTAATCAAGGCACTCTATTCAAACTCACGTAGTCGTGTAAGGGCTTATGGGGAATTGTCATCTGAATTGGTAACAACCAGTGGTGTCCGACAGGGATGTCCACTTTCCCCATTTCTGTTTAACTTCATCATAGATATGCTGATGGAAGTATCCTTAACTGAACGTAATGACTTAGGAATCGACTTGTTACCAGGGAATAATCTTATGGACTTAGAATATGCAGATGACATAGTCCTGTTAGGGGAGGATGCTGACAAAATGCAGAGTCTTCTGAACACCTTGAGCAGCAATCTTCGTATGTTTGGCATGCGATTCGCCCCTACAAAATGTAAGATGCTGCTACAGGACTGGACCACGTCAACCCTAACTTAGTGATAGGGAGTGAAGTGATAGAACATGTTGACCACTTCACCTATTTGGGAAGTTGTATTAGCACCAACGGACTGATTGGCGATGAAATCTCAGCACGGATCCGAAAAGCTCGAGCTGCTTTCGCTGACTTACACCATCTCTGGCGTAGGCGTGACATCCGGTTATCAACCAAGGGACGTGTGTACTGCTCATCAGTTCGCTCCGTCCTTCTCTATGGCTCTGAAACATGGCCAATACGCGTTGAAGACATGAAAAGGTTGACTGCTTTCGATCATAGATGTCTGCGATCTCTGTCTCACGTTAGGTGGTTTAATAAGGTAAGTAATGTTGACGTTAGGCGTAGAGTGTTGGGCAAAGAGGGAAAATCAATCGACGAGGCTATAAAGTTACATAGACTAAGATGGCTAGGTCACGTGCTGCGCATGCCTAACCACCGCCTCCCCCGACGGGCATTGCTAGCTGATATAGGTTCAGGTTGGAAAAGAGCCAGTGGTGGCCAAACAAAAACATGGCATCAATCCATGAAATCCTTGACAGTTAAACTGAGTCAGGTAGGGAGATGCAGACTCCCGGGTTGGGGCCCTCGGGACTCTAGGAATCAATGGCTGGAGACAATAGGTGACATGGCTCAAAATCGTTGTCAATGGCGCAGATGTATTCAGTCTCTGTAATCTTTCATATTCCTTTCTACCATTACCCATTCTGTTTCACTCTTATATTTGTCAAACTCTATTGATTCTCTTCACTCATCTTCTTGTCTACCTCTGTGTGCTATTTGGAACGTGGCAACTCGAACTGGTGCACTTCGGTGCCAAGTTCTATTTTGAATCCAGACAGCTGTTGATCTCCACAGAGACTTGAGAGTGGTGAAAGCTTGTCTTACTTTTCCTATCTTTGCTTTGATATCCTCGTCAGTTCCATCAGCTTGTAGTCGAAACGATGATTCCCAGGTAGGTAAAGGAGGTTGTTTCTTTCAAGTTCCTCCTTTCAGGATTATAAGCAATCGCTAATGACTTCCTAGTATTTCACTCTTCACAGAAAACTTGATAGCTTCTGGAAAAGTCATTCCCTACAACGAATGAAGTAAAGTCTTTAGGTACGTACGTAAAGATAACAAACAGGCCTTGGCGAACACTCGTCTTTTCTTGTTCTTACATCCACTTCACTAGGAGACACACTATCGACTAGAATCTAGCCAGACAATGAGATTTTGCGTCTCCGTAAGCTCCTACAAGGCTGCATGAGTTTAAGTTCACGACCAAACACTGCCATAGTACCTCTTGGCTGATGGAGCGGAAATCCGCCTTCAAGTAAAGAAATATGATAAGTGTTGGACACTGGTAAGTATATCTATGCTTCAAAATCTGTCTAAGGTCGAATATATCATGAATACATCCTCTTCCTAGTCTATAGCCTGTCTGGTTTTCGTGGGTTTGTTTCCCTTTACCGTCATCTAGTCTGTGCGTGATTACTGAACCTAGAACTTAAGATGCTATACTAGTGAAGCTTATCTCCCTGTGATTATCGCAGGAAGACTTGTATCCCTTTTTATAATGGTCAGTTATTTACACTTGTTCAACAGGGATATCTCTGATTCCCAGACATTACCACCTCTAAAGTCATTCCATCAGATTCTGCTACCTTATCTCGTTCCAGATTGTAGATAGCGTTTGCAACCTCAGTTACGCTTTAAGGACCTGTTAATATCCCATTCAGGTATTGGATGCTGAACAAATGAAGCGTAACTGTAGGCTGATTAAATTGCTTCTCAAAATGTTTCCTCCAATATTCCATTCTTCTATCCAGAGGGGTCATTAAAGCGCCTCTTTTCTCGAAGATTGCTTAGCTTTTACAACCTATTTTTACCTAATAAACGTAAAAAGTCGTCCGGTAATACTTAACGCCGATGCCTGTTTCATCTCTCTTCCTTTTGTTGCCTACCACTGTTCAAAGTCGTTGCAGAGACTTCTGGTTACTTTGCGTCTGAGCAGCTTCTACTCATCAGTCTTCTTGTGTTATCAGTTCAGATAAAGCAGCAGAAATCCATTGTCGTTCACTAATCTTCAGCTTTAGATTATCCACAGTCTTTAACAGCCGACTGGATATTATCCTAGGCTTGCTCAGGATAAGTGCTGCTGTCGATTTCAGATACGCATTTAGCTATTTCTTCCCTGAATAGAAACATAGTGTCTTCATCAGATTGAATGCGTAGCGGCTTCATTGATGCTTGTGTTTTATGTCCGTTTAGCTGTTGGCATATATGTGCATGGACTGGAGTGTGATCTAAGTCTACATAGGTCTTTCAGAAGGAGCACAGCAGATGTGTGGGAAAGGTAAATTACAGTGCACATCGTCACCAGAAAAGCCATTGAGACATATATCCCAGATCAATGCCATGACTGGCATTCATTTTAGTCTGTGAAAATTTCCTTTATATTATTTCGTGTAGTTGCAAAGTTTGACAACTTTTATCACGTTTCACTGTGTATACCCTATTTCAGATGAATAGTTCTAAACATAAAATACTTGATCTTCTTGATAACTATCGCCTAACGTTTATTGTGTTTTACGAAGGAAATAGATTAAATCAATATTTGGTAAACTTAGATAAGTCCAAATCAGTATCTGTATCGAACTGCGTAATACGTTTGTTAAATGCTAGTTAGTAGTGATATCTATCCTCGCATACGTAGCCTACATATATCGATACCACTTTCTACTGAAGTATAAATATTTTAAAATCAACTAATAAGTCTGTGGGAGACTGTATACGAGAACTTAAAGGCCAAAAAATATTGTATGTTCAACAATAACGATGTTTTCTCTCAATTTTTATGTTTTCTCACTTTAGTTTTGGGATCATTTCGTCGTTCATGCTACAATAGTACTCGTAAAAACATACTACTCGATGAGAATACTAAGTTAATATGTCAAGGATTTACAGGGAAGCAAGGCACTTTCCACTCTCAACAAACCCTTGCTTACGGTACGAAACTTGTTGGTGGTGTTTCTCCTGGGAAAGGTGGAAGTGCACATCTTGGATTGCCGGTGTTTAATACAGTCAAAGAGGCTAAGGAGGCTACAGGTGCAACTGCTACTGTTATTTACGTACCACCGCCACATGCTGCTGTGGCTATTGTCGAAGCTATTGATGCACAGATTCCTCTTATCGTATGTATAACTGAAGGTATCCCACAACATGATATGATACGTGTACGGAAACGTCTTGTTGAACAGGTAATACAGTTTTTGTATATTATTATCCACTTCTTAGTTATTCAAGAAACAGTTTAGTTACGTGTGTATTTGTGAATGCGGGCATATTTCTTCATTGAATGTGACTAAATACTCTTTTCTACTTGTTAGGATGTTGCACCTACTAGACACAACGTATGTTTAGCCTTTCTCTTTCTTCCAGCTTCAATCTAAGGTTTCTTCGTTCCAATCCAACTGAACTACATCTCTGCTACGACTTGAATGCAGTCTTCCTATGTTAAGTAAGTAAGACATGGAAATCTGAAACCCATTAGAATCACATATGCAAATTACAATAATTAAAAATTCTCCATGAATATTTTTAATGGTGTAATTATCTGTCGGTGGCACAGTGGTTAGGACGCTCGCCGATCGTGCTCATGGTCCGGGGTTCAATTCCCGGCCGACGCACCTCAAGCCACTAGCTTGAAGCCCTATGTTCCACTGGGGAACGTGAAAGGAAAAAATTATCTATGCTGAAACATAATAAGATGCTAGTCGTATGCTTGGGTGAAAAAAAAGTCTTCTGTGAGCCCATATCGTTACACTTTTCAAAGCGGCGCTTTCATTTAGTCGAAAATTCTCACTATCCGTCTCCTAAGCTCTAGGTATGCATCATGAATCCCTTGTCTATTACTTGATATGACAGTGCACATATAAGAGCGATTTTCTCTAAGTCCATAAATGTCAATACTACTGGGTCTCTTTATTGATTTGGTTGGCTTCTTTTTGAAAATATGTAACTCATGCAGTAAAGTTACAGATAAAATCTCTGGAAGTACTTTTGCTACTTTACAAACATTTCGTATATATGTGTGTAGTATAATTCACTTACTAAGGTAGGAAGCTTAGATGTTCAGTTATTTCAAATATTTGAACATATGATGGAGTTCATCTCAAAATTAAATTCTCACTAATATTAATGCTATTTGTTAATAGAATACTATAATTTCTGTTATCGTTGCTTGCTAAAGTTATCGTTTAGTTTGCAATGCTTTTTTTCTGTGCCTTACTAAATGTTATAACTCTAACTTAGCTAATTAGTGGTATAGACAGCTATCAGTTACACTGCAAGGCTTAAAATTACCAGGCACTTGTCTTCATATCAAAGTAAATATGCAAAGTTTGGACTTGTGACGCATTTTTGAAAAGTCATCTCGCCATTCCTGTGTAGTCTAGGCATCATAAAGCCTGATTTAGAGAAAATCAAGGTTGTTCTGTTCGAAACAAAATGTCTATGATTAATTTTGTTGTGGAGACTACTGAGGACAGCTAACCACCCGCGAAAAATCTGGTATCTTTTTCGTCTCTTACTTTCTTTATGCACAAATGTTTTGTTTATTTCCCGTCTTTTCTCATCACTTGTTTCCTCTCCCTGCCTCTTTTTTTAGTCTTCTTCCAGATTAATTGGACCAAATTGTCCAGGAATAATAAAACCGGATATATGCAAAATTGGCATAATGCCTGCACATATTCACAAACCAGGCACTGTTGGCATTGTCTCCAGATCGGGAACACTAACCTATGAAGCAGTCTTTCAAACTACACAGGTACACTTTTTTTCAATTCATTTATATGTATGTCTTATTTTGACTAGATTTAATATCAGTTTTACACACCAACTACTTGTGAATATCAGTTCTGTTTGAATTACTAACTGTATTTCAAGTGTATAATGCTTATTCTTTTTCAACCTGTTGTACAATAATATTTGTTACAGGATTTCATCATGAGCTGACATTAGTTAAAGAACCATTGGAAAAGCTGCAGGGAGTACTGGACAACTGTTTCGTCCTAGTTTGGGACTCTTCATCAGTACGCACCCATAGGGATTCGAACCAAGGACCTTCTGGTTATAAGGCGAGCCAGCTCGTATACCATTAAGCCACTGGGATCCGAACCAATGGCCCATGAATTCTAACTTCTGCCAATTCACGACACAGCGCGACCCCTATTTGTATTTCCTACATAATTCTTCTGGAAACTGAATCAGTCAGCAATCTTCCTCAATAATTACAGAGTAGTCCCATTGCTTTGTTTTGGAGTTTTTGAAGGTCAAAGTTATGCTGGCAAGTGAATACAGTGAGACATAAAAGCAATAGGATTTCTGTTTTCAGTAATCTGTGCTTTTTCTACATTATCTTAACTTTCTGTGAAGTAAGGAGAAATCAGTCCTTGTTTATGGTCTACTTCTAGCAGTTGCCTGAAGGTATTATGTTGTGATTCCATGGTTTTGTAATGCTTTAGTTGGATCCCGTGATTCCACTTCCACATAATACTACCTGACCACCTGACTGTATCTTTGCCTGTCAAGTGTTAAAGTGATTGCTTCAAACTAAATGGCTTTTTATCAGAAATCAGCCAGTGGTCCAAGGAAAACGGTCTAACCTTATATCCCTCTAAATGCCAAACAATTAATTTCACCTTTAGGCATAAATCTGACCTAAACAAACTGGTTAGAACTCACGAGATGCAACATAGATGGCACTGAAATAGAAACCAAGTCGGAAATTAAATACCTAGGCTTCATTCCATCTGCTGATCTTTCCTGGTCGTCTCATATCTTGATGATTTCTAAGAAAATATTCCGTCTTACCTTCTACATCAAGAAGTTAAGACATTCTGGAATAAACCAACCTTTACTCCTACGAATCGTTAACTCTCGCATTCTGCATATTATTCTCTATTGTTCCCCCCTTAGTTTTTCCAGGGCTTCTGTAGAAGGACTGTATCTTATTACGTAGGATGTTAAAGGTTGTCAGCAGGGTAAGCAATGTGCCACTTAACCAGCTTGTTAATATTCTGGTTGACAGGTACTTAGACTCATGTGAAAAATGGGCTAAATCCATTTTATCTAACTCACACCACCCTATTCATTCACAACTCTTCCCGTGTATCTCAACAGGCTGAACCAGAAGCCTATATAGAAAACTATATGCTCGCACTAGCAAGTACAAAAACTCAACCATACCCTACTTAGCTCGTGTTCTGTGCGATAAAGAAAGCATTAGGTGTGAAACCTTTAAATTATTAAATAGTCAGTAGAACAGCTGGATCTCGTCTTTCCAATTCATGTCATTTATAGGTACAACGTTTTCTTTCTTTCTTTTCCTTTTTTTGTTATGTGCTGTTTTGTTTCTCTCTTCCTTACAAACTCAACTTAAAACATTCTTCTTGGTTCTTTCACACTGTTTATCTCAACCTTTTTGTTACCGCTTACGCCAGTAAATATGCTAGCATCTACTTTTCTAACACCTTCAAACACTGTTCACTTTTGGCTTTGTTACCGACATGTCAATATGTTGTCAAAACGAACTGAGACTACCCATAATCTATGTAGAATTTTATTTATTGATAATGTAATAACTGGATGCAATACTGTAGTAAAATGCTGAGAATTCCATTCTGTATCACAAGTACTGTTTTGGAATAATGCAAATTACTATTATTATTATTAAAATCGTTTATGCGTAATGGTGTTATATTGCCGATATAACCAACTCAACTTCAGTTGTTTTTATAAACATTCTTAATTATGCTCCATTTTAGGTTGGCCTTGGCCAATCTTTATGCGTTGGAATTGGTGGAGATCCGTTCAATGGAACAAATTTTGTTGATTGCCTTGAAGTATTCTTAAAAGATCCTAATACAGAATCAATTATTCTTCTTGGTGAAATCGGTGGGGAATCAGAAGAACAGGCTGCAGATTACCTGAAACAACACAATACGGTAAGTTGTTTTAAAGTAATATAAACTTTACTATTGTGGTTTTGCCTCTAACATTTTTTTCTCATCTCCTCGCATTTCGAATGGGATAAAGAGCCCCAAGTTGAGGTTTGAAGTCTTATTAGCAGTGGGGTTCTTTTACAGGGTGGGGTTGCTAGCGCCACGCTCTCAAGTTCCCCTCTTTATCAGGTTTACTATCGGCTAAGAGAGGCTTAGGAGTGCGGGAATCGAACCTGGGCTGCTTGAATGATTGACTAGTATTCTATCATTGTAAACCACTGAGGCACTTGTTTTATGTACGTTTGGTTAAAACTAGTGATCTTGTTATCTAGTTGCTGTAGATCTCCAGGTTTTGCTCCGTGCGTTGGTGGCACAGCGGTTAGGACTCTCGCCGACTATGCACACGGTCCGGGGTTCGATCCCCTCCCGACGCACACTTGATATCTATGGTCGGCCTGCAAAATTTGGGCTACCGATATCACATGCTGAAAATTCCATACCTCTACCAAAAAATACGGTGTGGAATCAAGCTGTAATCAAAAATATAGAATATCTTATCCTTATATAACATTAGAAAAAATGTGTGAAGTTTTAGGTGTGAACTTTAAAAGTTTGTAATTGAAATGATTTAGTAAGTTAGAATAAGAGGGAAGTAGCTCTTAACAAGCTCGAGACTTCTGTTCTTCAATCGTCATCACTTTTTTTTACTTTGCTTGTAATCCATACATTTTTCTGGTGGCCTGCTGAAGATTTAGACTTGGGTTACCAAAAACCTCCATGACTACATTGCATATAATTTCTCCTGTTCACTTTGTTATAATCGTCCGAAATATGACCTCTAGCGGTATTCTTTACTCTTTCGAGTATTTAAAGTGTTTACAAACTGCTGACTTCTCCAGTTTCCACTAAACTTGAGAAAAAACATAATCATGGGCGTGGGCAACTCATCCCAGTACATGTGGTAACTGTTCCTGAGTTATGTCCTTGGGTTTCCAAATGCACTCCTAAACTTTTTACAATCGGCTTTCAACCATATGTTGTACATTTCTCTCAGAAAACAAAAAAAGATATCAAAGTGGATTGGTTTGTGCTTCAGGTCAAATAGCGTCGTGTCACAGGATCTACTGTCAAATTAATATTTTCATGTAAAAATCCTTTGCGAAGAGAAAACGTCATGCAATAAACTTTGCTAAAAATTCTTTACATCATATTATAAACACTGTTCAGAATAAAGCTATTATTATTACTTAATTTGCCTTTTCTTACCCTTGTTTTAGGGTCCAAATAGTAAACCTGTTGTCTCTTTCATTGCTGGAGTAACAGCACCACCTGGTCGTCGTATGGGTCATGCAGGAGCTATCATTTCTTTGGGTAAAGGAGGTGCTAAGGAAAAAATGGCAGCTTTAGAAAGTGCAGGTGTAATTGTCACTCCTTCTCCAGCTCAACTGGGTAAAACTCTTTTAGAGGTAGGTTTTCATATCCGCATTATGCTCAAATTTTAATTAGTCTAACGTCGTAGCATCTCAGATAATGTCTGTCTGTTTTCGACATAGAACTTTGCACCGATGTGCGGCAGTTCAAGTCGCCACAATCCATCTAGCACACATAGCAAGAGAAGAAGGTAGAAGAAATGCATAATAGAGACAGTAAACAAGGGTGTGAGACAAAAGGAATAGTAATATCGAAGAACAATGTAGTTTCATTGGGAATTACAAGTCACAGGGAGCGGATGCATCTGCACCGTTGAGAACGATTTTGAGCCATATCACCTATTGTTTCCAACCATTGTTTTTTACCGTCCCGAGGGCCCCAACCAGTCAGGTAGCCAGTCTACACCTTCTCACGTGGCTGGCGTAAACTAACTGTTGTGGATTTCATTGACTGGTGCCATGTTTTGGTTTGACCGCCGCTAGCTCTTTTCCATCCTGACCCTATGTCAGTTAACATTGCCCGTCGAGGAAGGCGATGACTGGGCATACGTAACACATGTCCTAACCATCTCAGCCGATGTAGCTTCACAGCCTCGTCGATTGATTTCCCCTGCTTACCTAGAACTCGACCGGTGCCTAACCTCAATATTGCTCACCTTATTATACCACTTCGCACGGGAGATAAAACGCAGACACCTATGATCAAAGACAGCTAATCTTTTCATGTCTTTCACTCTCAATGGCCAGGTCTCACTCACAGCCATAAAGGAGAACAGAGCGAACTGATGAGCAGTACACCCGCCCTTTTGTCGATAGCCAGCCGGATATCACGCCTACGCCAGAGACGGCGTAAACTGACATATGCGAAACAAGCCTTCTGTATTCGTGCTGAGATTTCGTCAGTGATCAACTCGTTGGAGTTGATGCGACTTCTCAAATAAGTGAAGTGGTCAACGTGCTCTACCACTTCACTCCCTATTTCTAATCTAGGAGTCGGTGTAGTCCAGTCCCGTACCATCATCTTGCATTTGGCGGGAGCGAATCGCATGCCAAACATTCGTAGATAATGCCAGTCTATCCTATAAATTTGTAAAGAATACTGATGTTAAGGATTATTAATTAATGTTGTTTGAATTATCTTGTGTTTCACTGATGTGCATTACGAGTTACTTTTGTTCATTTTTGGAATGGATAGATACCCTTAGTTTGACATCTATTTTAATCGATAATTCGAGTGATAATTCAAATTAAGATAAAAAGCTAAGTTCATCATTGGATTAAAACGTGTGACCTTTAGCCTCTTTGCTTATCGATTAATTCTATATGATCAGGATGATATGTTTCACTTGTCTGTTTCATTCATTTGCTTTGGTTCCTATTTCGTTGTGGTGTATTGAGCTAGACCGATGGGTTCAAGCTCCATTGTACACTCACTACCTAGTAAGGTTTAAATGCTCAAGCTGTATCACTAGTCCTCACACCATACCGTTTAGCTCATTTCTAAGTGCATAAATGTGTAGCTGGTTGATTCATTTTCCGTTTTACTCACATGTAGATGAAATTGCATTATTTTGGCAAGATATGACTGCTATCATACCCCTTACCATTGAAGTGTGAGTTGAATTACTGCATACTCTCAGTAGATATATGTATTTCTAATATACGGCGTAGGGTGCAGCAGGTCGGGTGTGAAAACAAATACTCACCAAAGATATTGGCTAGGGGTCGAGCTATTTCGTGAATTGGCAGAAGTTAGAATTCATGGGCCATTGGTTCGGATCCCAGTGGCTTAATGGTATACGAGCTGGCTCGCCTTATAACCAGAAGGTCCTTGGTTCGAATCCCTATGGGTGCGTACTGATGAAGAGTCCCAAACTAGGACGAAACAGTTGTCCAGTACTCCCTGCAGCTTTTCCAATGGTTCTTTAACTAATGTCAGCTCATGATGAATTCCTGTACCTAATCGAATCCCTACAAACCAACACTTGAATACGGTGTGGCTGTTTCATGAATGTTAGGTCATCTATATGCTAACCGTATCCGCCTACGCCAAGTCTGCTGTGCTTGGTTGTTGGATCAGTTTTTGTTCTTATTTTTCTCACGACCAATATTGAGGACGTAAACATTGACGTAAATTATTGTCTACCAATTTGGCTGGCATGTGCGTCGGTGGCACAGCGGTTAGGACGCTCGCCGACCATGCACATGGTCCGGCTAGCTGGCTAGCAGCCACCTCTCACCACAGTATCATCAGCTTTCACACGAACAGTTTGGCACATGGAAGACATTCTAGAACTGAGTTCAAACTTCCAGCTCATAGTTGACAATGTGCTGCGCATATATATTGTGTGAGAACCAGTGTGACAGGCCAAACATCGGTAGGTAGGGTTAGGGGGCTCAAACCTGTCGTTGGAAGTAGTGCGTCTAGACTAGTGGGCCACAGATTCACCTATCTGTACAATAAATTATCACAGTAAGTCACTATGGGACACTTTCCTTACTAGGTGGCTTTCGTAAGCATGTGCCAGGACATAACTTGGCCTCTTTGCGTAATTAAAGAATTAAAATCCTAATGGGTACGGTGATACCTGAAGCTACTAATTTACTGTCTGAAGCAGTTCTTGTAGCATTAAGCACTTTCAGCCTTTAATGCTTTCTTATAATTTGTATTCAATTCAAATTTTATTACTGACCTTTATTTCATGTTTAAACTTTCTGTTTGTAGGCGATAAATGGTCGTTCACGTGCTAAAAGTAACTAAACAATCTACAGTGAAGTTTACTCCAGAGCTGATCAAAGATGCTTATAAGTTACTTACACAATTAGTATTATTATAACTGTTCTGTGTATGCGAGCTCGCCAGTGCGATCTTTTCTTCCGGATATAATCAAAATATGTTGTTTTTTTTTAAATTGGTTGTCCAACCATTGACTTCAACATTCTACTGTTTTTCATCGCATTCTTTTTTTTCTTGTGTCTTTCGAATTAGTGTATATTCATTCATTGACTAAGTAAATCGTTTAGTACTACAATCATCGGTATATGTGTGCTTGTCACCAGTATCCCTGATATAGTGAGTGAGAGAAAAGACCAAACTAGTATCTCGTTTACTTGATTGTTTGCCTTGTCTCTCTCTCTCTTTCTCTGTACTTCACAGCCATGTAACACCACTGTTTATCTTCCTTTCTTGTATAGGATTTTAGTATATAAAGTACTTTATATACTTTTTTTCTGCTCCTTTGTGTATCGCTTTTTTTTCTCTTAAATCAGAATGGTTAGTATGTATATTTACACGTGTGTGTGTGAGATAACGGAGTACAGTTGTTCCATTGTCGTAGTATTTATTAAAGAAAAAACCTAGTGATAATCAAAATAATAACTGTTTTCTATTTCTTCTTTGAATGAGTTTTACTCAGTAGTGTATATGCGCAATCACACTTAATTGAAATTCAATTACCCTGGCATTGATTTTTCGGACTGATGGACAACTCGTAGGTTTACCTATAGGAGAACTGAAAACCCTGATTCCAATCTTATGGGGGTTGTATTGGCTGCAGAATCTGGACAGACCGGTTATGATTACAGGGAACCATGGGAATGCTGCTGCACACTGCTCTGTGGATCTGACTTTAAGTCCGTGGTTGTAAGGTTGGGTTGGGAGGAAGTGGGTCTTTTTAGGACAGTGACTTGCTTCGGTCTGAACTTCTGGGTGATAGTACCCCTGCCCTCGAACAAACTATGAGATTTCGTGTGGCGCATCTCTTGATGCCTATAATGTATGTATTTTACTATTATAATAATATGGTATGTGAGGACTGATGAAGTGGAGGAGTCGAACTTGGAGCTCATCGAGTGAAGCTTCAGTGCCAAATTATAATAAGTCACATCAAGTAAATAAGCATGCTTCGGTGGCATAGTGGTTAGGACGACCATGCACATGGTCCGGGATTCGATCCCCGGCCGACGCACTCCTTTACCTCCCTAAGACAAAAGTAATGCTGGTAAAGAAGAAAGGTTGGGCATGAGGCTAGCAACCCCATCCTGTAAAATAAACACTGCTACAGAAACTTCAAGCCACTAGCTTGAAGCCCTATGTTCCACTGGGAATCTAAAGGAAAACAGTCAATAAGCATACTTAATCTATCCTCGCATAGTAATAATCTCAAATCATCTTATTTAAAGTGGAATGTAGGATTGTAAAAGACGAAGTTGAATAATGATAATAATAATATTCTTAATAACTTCAGAAAAAATCGTTACATTCGTTTTTTTTGCTGAAAACAAAATCTAGGGATCCAATTAGTAAGCTGTTCATATCTTTTGTCGTCAGTCATATACGATTGTGTTTCCAAAAGGAGTAGTGTTATAATTTTACTTTCTTCCACATTATCATCCTTTATGAAAAATGTTACAACAATCGCAAGCAATCGGCAATGAGTGACACTTGTTACATGATACTGCTCTTCGGCTTCATGAACTCCAGTATGTAGGACGGAGTTTGAACCCATAACCCCGAGTGGTTGGAAATTGTGTGTCTAGACCAATGAGTTACTACTTCACTTTTCAAACTTCTAATATTTTATTTATTTTAATTTTCATATTGATTAGAATGTTTACAATTAAACATGTAATCAAACTTTTCGTAAAGTGTATTGCGTACAAATACATTACATTTATGTTTTCCCACACAATGCTATCTTAAGAGACTCAAAGTTGTGTCTCAGATTACTTAAATGTGATTTCTTATTACCGAATAATGTAGGTTACAAGTGGATTATCTCCTGAACCCGACCCCGACGAGTATAGCATTATTTACGTTAGTCATTCACTATCGATCGTGTGAACTATAAAGCATCCTTAGAACCTATTTATGCAATCGTCAATACTTAATCATCATCACCGGACTATACGACTTCACCATTTCGGTGCATAGGAAAGGAGATATTTTCATACTTATTCTATCCTACAATATTGCGTAATAACAAGTCATATGACTTGTTGCGATTAAATTATTTAGCTTTGATTGGTTTCGGATAAGCGTAATTAGCAAAATATTTATCATGAACTTATAATTTCTGCTTGTTGTTATTTTACTGCAATGCAATTCTAAACTGCAAAGTGAGTTTTTTTATAGTTGCATATATATACAATGCGTCAACGCATCAAAGACGTTGGGAAGTATTCAGTCTGATCAAAACAGTACAACAAGGTGAATAGTACTACTACATGTATAAGGAATCTTGTTAGTTTTATGTTAAGGAAAGATTAAGGGCAACAGTGAAGCATAGATACCATAGTCAAATGACGTTGAACCAGCCAATCATGTGCTTCTAGGCAAGAAAGTGGCATTTACAGTCTAAAAAAAGTATGTACACTGAATCCGAGGAATAAATTTATCTTCCAGTGTTATAACTCTTCCCAAGGTCATTGGGTGTCGCAATTTAACTTTTGTTTTGTGCTGGAAATTACCGAAAATTGTAAACATAGAATCCTGGTTCTAAAACCTTCGCTAAATGATTCTGATTGTTCCGACATTTTGGTTAAGCAGCAAGCAACTGTTAGACCTGGCTACGCAATTGAACATCTAAACGAAGTAAAGACTGGATTTCTAGCTTTAAAGTAAATTCATCCTTATTGGAAATTGTACCATTAATTATAAAACCAGATGATAATGATGGATACGAATCCGATGCATTAAGTTTACCACCTACATAACCTGAACATTGCTTAAAAAAGACTGTGTCATACTACGTATAACTCTGAAGACTGTCAATAAGGCGAGTGGTGTCCCATTGGGTTACATTATCATTGATGGGCACTTGATTTCATACAATAAAATTGCCAAAGGGATTTTTTGCCAAACTATGAGCATCCACTTAACCCTCAGCCTTCACCTTGTATCTCCTCGGTAGAACAAGGAATCATTTCAAAAGACTTTGCGCGCGTACGTTTAAGTAAAAATACGCCACGATACCATATTTGGCACGTATTCTATGTGATGAACATAGTATCAGGTACGAACTAACTAACTAACCTTCTTTCCACTAGTAAATTAAAAATCTTCCCTATCCTTATACTAACAAGGTTTACTGTTATTATTCCTATCATATTTATATTCCCATTGTTGTTTTCTTTGTTATTTTTCTAACTGTAAACACTGTTTAAGCTCTGCAATAATTTTTGTTTCTTGTTTTCCCCTCACCATGCTGTGTCAAGAGAACATTAGATTCAATATTCTGTAACATGCTAAGATTTCAATACTGTATCGACAATATTGTTTGAAACAGACCCACTGTTATTATTGCTCTTACTATTATTATCATAACAGTAGAGAATAAATACCAAAGTCAAATGACCTTAGAACGACCAATCATGTCCTTCCAGGTGAAAACTGGCATTTGTTTTATAAAAAAGTGTATTTATAATATATTTATGCAATAAAAATAGATTATACAGCGTATGTATATCTTTAATACGCCGCAGAAATTGGTCTCACTTATAGATGTATCAAACCAATGTCGGTACAAAAATTCATCCAAGTGGCTTTATATCATAACATTTCGGGAATCGTTTACCATCCTAATACGTTTTTTAGGTGGGCCTGGAATCCTTTCATATAATTCGTATGGGTTTCACTCATAGGATCCACCAAATCAGTGGTGGCACAGTGGTTAGGACTCTCGCCGACCATGCACATGGTCCGGGGTTCGAGCCCATGCCGGCGCACACCTGATATCTATGGTCGGCCTGCAAAATTTGGGCTACCGATATCCATGCTGAAAATTCCATACTTGTACCAAAAATACAGTGTGGAATCAAGCTGTAAATCAAAAATTAAAAAAAAATGATTGACTTTGTGATGAATATAGCCTGGTGATGATTGTTGCAAATAATCTCTCCACTCATTATGAATTTTAGAGTCTGGGAGGAATAGTCATTGTATTGTTGATAATTAAGATATCGGCGAAGTTCAACAATAGCGTCCCAGGAGTGCGAACACTTCAATGACCTTCAGCGCATGCTAGTCGTTGGCTAACGTCACTATCATTATCATAGCTGAGAAATCAACGCCATTCATCAAATTAAGAGCAAGTTTCACTCAGATCACGCTTTCAATTACTGTTTGGACAATGTGTTAACATCTCGTTAGGATTAGGGTAAAGGCTAGTATTAGGGTTAGGGTTTCGGTCATAATTGGGATTAGGGTTAGGTTTACGGTAGGATAAGGACTGTCATTAGGGTTAGGATTAAGGTTAGGGCTAGTGTGAAATTTAGGGTTAGGGTCAGGATTAAGGCTAGGGTTGCGATTAGGAATAGATTTCTCATTTATTTCAACTTGTTTTATTATCCTCATTTTCCTTGTATGTAGTCGTCGATCTTCTTACTGAAACCATAGTAACTTAACCGAGCGTTTTGGAGAGGACTGCACAGCAAGATAAGAGAGATGAACGATTCACAAAACAGCAAATCTTCAGTTTCTTTGGTGAATACATCTACAGAAACTAGTCCAACTTAGCAACTGATACTCTTCATCATAACTGGGACGTATTTTTAAGTCATCTCAGAGAAAGATAATCTGTTTAATGTGTTTTCGTGCATTTTCTTGTGAATATACGTCATTTTTTGTGCAAAAGTTCCTTATTTTTATGAGTGGTTGGCTGAAGGTCACTCGTGCGTTCGCATCCCTTGAGACGCCATTGTAGAACTTTGCCAAGATATCAGGGAGGCGTTCTAGAAACATTTCCCGAATATTTGTGTTGCGAAGTCCCAGCACCCAAACATGATTGGCTCTTCTACTCAGTTTTCGTTTAATAAGTACTGTTTCGTCAATATGAACAACAACACCAACTCCTCCAAGTACAGAAGTAATTTTATTGAGCATTCCAATAGAGCTAATACACCACTGCACTGTTGAAATTTTGGTATTCTCTGTTTTTGAGCTGCAGCAGATACTGGTAGCCAGTTATGGCATATACGCAATATTTAACTAAGGGAATTTCGATTTTGAGTAGAAAGTACCCAAAAAGTCACCATAACGTACAGCTTAGCAGCGCTTACAGACTTCCTCGTGTAACGATGATGAATTCAGATGCAACCACTGATTTAAACAAGACAAAGATAAGGGATCAGATAAATTACCTGAAAAGTTAAATTTTGGTGACGCCGAATTTTTATTTGGCCGCCTTAGTCGAGCGGCTGCATGTAAGCATCCTTTATCAGGTTCATGCAGTTTGTGTGCCTAAGATTATTGATTGGTCTCTAGATGCATAATCGTTTCATCTGAAGTATACATATTCCCAGAACGCATCCTAGTTTCCCATAGGAGTCGTCACTGTTTTGCTGAACTAAATTCTGTGGATTGGTTCGTTCGGATGGCTTTAACTCATCGTGCTTCTTGACGTATTAACCGCTGTGATCCCAATTCGAGTAACCTTAGAGACGTTCCACGGAATTTGTTTGAGTTCCATTGAAAGGATTAACGAAATCTTCCGTATGATTGATCACTTTTTGAGTATAGCCCAAAGATGACGAGTGTAGCTACCCTATTGTCCTCTGTGAATGGTTGTGCTGTGTAGGATTATACTCTGAATAATTGGTAACAAACATCAACACTACGACTAGGGATCATCTGGGTATAACCTTTCCACAGAGGTTGTGTTACACAATCTAAAAAGCCACTGTTGATAAGCACGTAGTTGTACTGCTTTCTCCCTTTCCGTATTTCTGTCGTTTAAA